AAAATCATGAAATAATTTAACCGGGTGGTAATATTGATCACAATGATTACCAACAGTCAGTCCCTAATGAGTTGAGGCAAAGGTACAGGCAAAAGACAATTGGTCAACCACATCATCAAATGGTTACCAGAGGTAAAGCAGGCATGTTCAAACCAAAGATATATACTGGCCAGTCAACTGAATATGAGCTCAAAACAGAACCCAAAAATGTTGCTGAAGCACTAATGAATGAAAATTGGAAGGGTGCTATGGAAGAAGAATTCAGAGAATTGGTGAAAAATAAAACCTGGAAACTTGTACCTCCATCGCCGTCTTATAACATAGTTGGAAATAGATGGGTCTTAAGATTAAAACATAATTCAGATGGTTCAGTCCAAAGGTTCAAAGCAAGGCTGGTGGCTAAAGGATTTCATCAGAAACCTGGGATTGATTTCTATGAAACCTTCAACCCAGTCATCAAGCCGTCTACACTAAGGATTATCCTCACCTTTGCAATCTCCAAAGGATGGAATATCAGACAAGTTGATAATAACAACGCCTTTTTAAATGAGAACTTGAAGAGACTGTGTACATGAATCAACCTGAAGGCTTCATTAACAGCTCAAAACCATCTTATGTTTGCAAGTTGTAAAAGGCACTTTATGGGCTAAAGCAAGCACTCAGAGCCTGGTATGACAAGCTGAAAACTACACTGATGAGCTGAAAGTTTCAACAATCAAAAGCCGATACATCTTTGTTCTATTTCAAAAATGAAACACAGATTCTTTTTGCCCTCATTTATGTTGATGATATAGTGATAACAGGAAATGACAAGGGCCTGCTGCAATGGTTTATAGATGAACTGAATCAGAAATTTGTACTCAAAGATATGGGACAGCTTCATCACTTTTTGGGAATAGAAGTCTACTGGCATGAATCAGGAATTCATCTTACACAAACAAGGTATATTGTTGAGCTGCTAAAGAAATTTGAACTCCAAAATATAAAGCCTTGTCCAACACCAATCACCATAGGTTAAACAATGTCAAAAACCGATGGAGAAGCATTTAGAGACCCCTCAATTTACCGAAGTGCAGTAGGGGGGTTGTAGTATCTAACACATATAAGGCCAGATATCACGTTTTTTGTCAACAAACTGAGTCAATTCTTGCAGTCTCCAACATCAGTGCACTGGCAGGGAGTTAAAAGAGTGCTAAGATATCTAAAAGGAACCATCAATCAAGGGCTGTGGATACAAAGGAGTGACAGCCTGACTCTAAATGGTTACATAGATGCGGACTGGGCTGCTTGTCCAGATGACAGAAGATCCACAGCTGGGTATTGCATCTATTTGGGAGATAACTTGATAGCATGGTCATCCAAGAAGCAACATGTGGTTGCTCGATCCAGTACGGAAGCAAAATATAGAGCTCTAGAAGCTGGTGCAGCAGAAATTTCGTGGACTCGGTCACTTTTCAAAGAGCTTGGGCTACCACAAACTTTGACTCCAATTTTATGGTGCGACAATAAGGGAGCTAGAGCGCTAGCAGCAAATCCTGTGCACCATGCTCGAACAAAACATATCGAGCTGGATATTCACTTTGTCAGGGATAAAGTGCTTGAAAAGAAATTAGAGGTGAGATACATTCCTTCTTCAGACCAAGTTACAGATCTACTGACTAAAGGCTTATCTCATTCCAGATTTAATTTTTGAAAGACAAGCTTGGAGTTACAATGGTACCTTCCAACTTGAAAGGGGGTGTTGATATAAGTTAATCCTCAACTCATCAATTAGATAAGCATATCCTTAGCTCTACTGAAGATCAGCAAATGAGCCTATTGTCCTCTCCTTATCAATTCTGTTGCACCAAATTTCTGTTACTAATGGACCTCAGCCTGACTCCATGATTTAAGGAGATTGCTCTAGCTGTGAATTCTAGAACACTCCTCACAACGGCTCTTTTATTGTCATTGCATTGTATATAAATTTATTGGCTATTGCTGCCTTATTGTATTGTGAATCATTGATTAATATTGCTGAGATTCATTACTTTAACTCATGATAAAGGGGCCAGAATTCAAGGCCGATTTTTTTCTTTTCTCTTTAGTGCACAGGTTTTAGTCCTTTGTAAATATGGAGTTGTAAAAACACTCATAGCTCTTGAAATATTAACAACGATTATTTATCTCTCAATTGTATTCATTCGTGAAGGTACTCCTAATGGGTTGAAAACCATATCAAGCGGTCTTCCATCTTGCAGATAAGGCATATCTTGTCTAGGCAAAATTTTGGAAATGATACCTTTATTTCCGTGTCTTCCAGCTACTTTGTCGCCTACTTAAATTTC